CCTCTTTGGTCTCTTGGCTCCTCATGCTATTCTAAGCAAACCCTCACTAAATGGTGTAGATTGAAAACCTGACGATAACTGTAGAATCTGCCTTTGCAAGATAGTTTTACTGACTTAGAAATTCAGGGAACACTGCTCTCTGAAAAAAAATATGCTTTACCACCTTATATGACAAGGGGGTATGAAAATCAGTTTAAAAGTCAGCGATGTTTCATGAGAGTCTTAAAGATGCTGAGCTGAACTGTATTACAAAGGCTTGTAAGCACCCTGTTTGTGCTTGGTGCTTGCTAGGAGCTAGACCTGCTTGAGATGGCCAAGAGCAGAGATGGCTTGGATGTCTTGAATCACTTAGCAGCTTTTCTGTCCTTCAGTTGAGGGAGCCTCCCTTTAGGACACAGCATTGCGCTGGTAGGCAAGGTGGTCGAGACAACTTCAAACTGTTCATGCTTTCACTGATGCTCCTCAACTCTGAAGAATATTAACAAGCATACAGATGGGCAAACTTGTTCCGTGCTAAAAAAATTACACTGGAGTTCATGTTTGGGGTTTTTTTTAGGTTTCACTGCTTTCAAAAATAAAGTTTGAAAATGCCTGTAATAATGCATATTGCACTTGCAGATTTGAGTGTGAAGTTTAAGATATCTTTACAGCAAATGAAATACCTGTATTTATATGCATAGTGTCAAGTGTTTCTAGACTTTTATATGTCTTACATAGATAAAATATATCTTCCCTAGAAAGCTGAATAGATAGAAAATTCCTGAAATAGAACAGAGAGTTGTTGTGGTGCTAGTGATAGTTTTACTAAAGTGAGAAATGCTCTTGTGCAGTAGTCCAGGCTCAGGCAGAATTCGCTATGAATCAGTTTCTTTCACACTTTCACAAAAGCGTGTAACCTTCAGGGTAGAGATGCACACAACTGGAGAGATGCAACATTTTATATTTCCTACATTCTGGAGCGAATTCCTTCTTCTGTTTTCTCATTGGTTGAGTACTCCAAGGTTTACAGCCTATCCAACACTTCTAATTCCCTTAGCGGATGTACCATCCCTGCTTACTAATTGATTAACCCCTCCCTTTTCTCTTCCCCTTCTTGTTTAATTTTTATCTATTATGGCATGCTGAGATAACATCTTGTAGTTAACCTTACCTCTGGCTATTATTCAGACCATGGAACCAGTTTGTACAACTGGAGTTTCTCAAAAATGTAGATCTTCTATTCTGCAAGCAGGAATTTCTTGTATCCAAGCTCTGCAGCACCTCTTTGACATCAGTACCTCTTATTGTTACACACAAATGACATTAAATGAATGTCAGAAAATACACTTGTTCTTTGTAGCTTAGAAAGTAGAACTAGTTAATCATAGCATAAGTTTCTCATAAAAGTTCTCTGAATTATAGGGCTTTTTTTGGTGAGCAAATCTACATATTTATTCCTATTCATGTGTACCAAAGTTACCACATCTGAGCTGATCTTCTCAGTGCCCCTATTGAAACTGTTCAGCACAATCTCTGAAAGTCATGGTCTTTCCCTGCCTTTCAGGCTTGCACAAATGGAAAGGACCAATGGCTCCTTCCTCACAGACAGCAGTTCCACCACAGGAAGCGTGTAAGTAACTCTTGCTCATTCAGACTGCTAGGAACCTTGGTTATAGGTGTAGATTATAATCCTTTGTAAGTTGTAACACGGAATTTAATTTAGCTCCAGAGACAGCAACAAATTAGTATGACCCCAAGAAGACCTGGCTAAATTTCATTATTTCATGAATCAGTTGTATAAATGGGTGGTTCTTGTTTGGTGAAATAAGGCAACATTTATCAACCACTTCACTTGAAAAATGAGGAAATTTCATGTCACTGGAAAAAAATCACAATTCTGTTGTTTCTATTTTGTGTTCCTTTCCTGCTTTTATCATAGTATAAAAGAAAACTTCTTTGTCAAAGTAGGCAGTGGAATGGGTCAATAATTTTTGCTACCTCCCACAGCACTTTTATTCATTGCAAGAAAATGATCAATACTGCAAGCTATACAGAAGAGCGTTGCTATTTCTTGCTTAGGTATCAGTTTGCTGGCTACTGATTCATGTTTGTACTCAGGAATTTAAACATAGTCCTACATAATTTTATTAAAGCTGTTTTCCTTTTTAATTATGTGACATTTTTATTCTAAAATGCTTTGTTAAAATGAATTGATGAACCTGAAAAGCATAAAACCCTTTGAATTACTGATGAATTAAGTACAGCTTGTTTGGTGATAAAATGCATTGATGTTTTAACCTTCCTGTGTCTTCTGTTCTGTTAATTAAATCAGTGTAGTGGGACCCTGCCTCTTTACAGTTATTAATTAATAAAATAAACCTTTTTTAAGGGAAAACAAATAAGTTAGATAGAAAAAAATTCTCTTATTCCTGTAATGTATGAACCATCCTAGCTAGCCCACACTGAAATTAATTGTGCTGGACAATAATATAAATTGTTAGTATGTAAACATGAATGTTTAGTAGCTGTTTTTTTTGTTTTGGTTTGGTTTGGTTTCTTTTAATGAATGCCTTTAATACTAGTCATTTTAGTGTCTGCAGTGCTGTTGATGGCACTTCACAGAGAACTGAAGATATTTTTCTTGTTAAGGGGAGCTGTGCACTCAGGTGCAGGGGTAAGATCAAGCAATGAACAACGGTGATACGTAGCATTGCCAATCAATGTTTTATGAGTCTGTATGGGAACTGCTGAATCAAGGCCTGAACATCTGATTGATCACCTGAGGCGAGCAATGAATCAGCCACGGGAGCACAGGTGAAGGCAATTCACCTGTGCTGCCGGAAGGGGTGCAGCCTGGCTCCACCTCTCCTAGACCCATATAAGAGCTGACTACCAGTGGGAAAGGATCTCTTTTTGGAGATCCCTCCTTTGGAATTTTACAGTGAGCCCAGGACAAGGGTATGCACTCTATCTATTCTTTTTCTTGGTGTAATACCCTGCTTAGCCAAACTCTGGTATATTTCATAATTATGACATCTGTATATTCATTGATTATACAGAGTCAAATAGAGTCCCAGTATACAGCACTAAATACTTTGACATGGTATAAATGGTTGAAAGGCAACTTGTCATAATGAGGAATTAGCTCCAGACTAAAGTTAAAGACCAAAACAGCATTTCAGAGTGCCTTCTTGAACCTGCTCTGAATATTTGGCATTGCATCAGTAGGTCAAGGTATGCTTCATTTGGACTAGAATACATAGTGCTTGATATGAAAAGAACACTTCTGGAAAAGTGAAGATAATGGAGGAAGCAAATATACTCATCTCTTACTATCTAAAATCTTAATCAGTTAAATAATGAAACTGATGAAAAGTGGCTGTCAGGAAATATGAGTTTTTCCTCTCTGCAACTCAGTCTTGATGAAGGAAAATGATGTGCAGTGTTTTTTTTGTCTCTTGCTCCCTTCATGCATGTTTTGGAATCAATCTGTTGAACATAATTTTCCAGAGAGAATAGGGTATTTCAAATGCCATTTTCATTGGCTAGCCTTGTTGGGGTGTTCTTCTCGTTTGAGATGTACTTTTTTCAAAACTGACCTTCTGGAATGTTACTTTCACTGCTTTCTTATATGACGAAATGCTGAAAAGGAACTGCAGTCTCAACTCTTGAAATAATTTTTGTGTAGTTCTGCTTTTTTCTTGAAGTATGCAGAGTCTTCAGAAAAATAACTACCAAGAAGACTAAGGAAATTATTTGGATGCCGTATTTTTATTTTGGTGACCAAGTGTTGTCTCCAACCAATTCTGACGAATAAAGTTCTGGATTTCTCAAAATTAATGTATTTTCATGCCACAGAGCACATCTCACTCCTTTCAGTTTTCAGTCATTGTGAAGCCCAGTGCTGGAACTCCTGTGCTACTAGTGAATCTTAATTACAGTCATGAGATTTTTTTGGTGCAAATTTAAGTCACTGGTTATTGAAATAGTAATTCTGCAAGTTAGACTAGATGTGGAAGATGTGGTAAAATCATATTTTTGTTTTAGAAGACTGTTTTTATCGAATTTACCTTTAGCACATGAAAAAGACTGCTATCATTCGTAAGGTATGATGCCTTAAAAAAGAACAGTCAATATTCACTCTGTCACATACAGACACTGAGGCTCTAAGACAATGAATGAGGAAGGAAGGAATTTTTTTCTCTGGACTTAATAACTGAGAGTCCAAAATATAGCAGTCTGGAATCCTTCTTGAAAGAGGATTGTATTTATCTGTTTTGGTGTCACCTCTAGGACACAATGGAGTGAAAAATATCTAAATATTTCCACTGTAAATTCTTTCTTAAAAGTGGATTATATGTCTTATTAAAAAATGAGGTTATGCCTAATGTAAAATCTTGACAGAATTTAAGTTTTAATAAATTCAAATATAATAAATCCAACTTTGCAGAGCACGATTAAAAAAATGTTTCAAATGACCTACATAGCTGCTTATTAACTAATTCGTCATCTTAAAAAGTAGACAGTATCTTTCTGATGCCTAATTAAAATAGGCAGACTAAACTACTTTATTGGATGAACCTTCCCTGACAACATCAATGCTTCAGCACAAAAGAAGCCTGTAATACAGTTACACTGTATCATTTAAATTAATATTTAAATAGTGTTTTGAAACCCGAATGATAGAACTTTGTTTCTTCTCTGTAATCTGCTTTAACACTGTGCTGCTTTGCTTGCTGAAGGTGTTGATGTTAAGATGCTACCACTTTCCTGCTTACTGCAGCTGTTTTAGTTTGCCTTGTGGGGACATCCTGCACGTTTCAATGGACACACAGTATATCATGGTGTGTAAAGCCCCAACAGATTTCACATCACTTTGGAAAAATACTTGGTTATAAGGAGTGGAGTTTTTGGTTTGTTTTGTTTTTACTAAAATAGAAAAAGGATGGAGAGTGTCATGGCATTTTCATTATCACATGAGAACCTGGTCTGAAATTGATTAACTACACTTTTTGTGGTTTTATTTATTTTTAAGGCATTTTGAGTAAGTCATTTGCAGTTTATATTTTCAGGTTCTTGCTTTCGCTATTTCTGAACCATCAGCATTTGTTCTTCATGCATACATTAAACCATTGTTTACATTACTACTAATCAATCCTCTTTTTCCTGTGCATTGTGTATTTAAAAGCTTTTGTGGTATTTTAGAAACAATTCATAAATTTGAATACAATTTGCTGAGATACACATCTAACATTTATACTTTAAAATCTTGCAAGCTTATTTCATGCTCTTAGTCCATTCACATAAACAAGCAAATGAAACCCTTCAGCTTGACAAAGTTGTTTGTTCATGTAATAAACGTGTTTTTGCTCTGTCTTAATCTGTGTTGTTGCATTGCTCCAGAGAGGATGAGCATGCCCTTATCCAGCAGTATTGTCAGACACTGGGAGGAGAGTCACCCGTGAGTCAGCCACAGAGTCCTGCACAGATACTGAAATCAGTGGAAAAGGAAGAGCGAGGAGAGTTGGAGCGCATCATTGCTGACCTTGAGGAAGAACAAAGGTGTTTCATAAGCATCCTATTTAGTCTTTGAATTGTCAATCCATTGTTTGAGCTAAGTGTATACCATATATTGTTGGAGAAGATGAGAAGAGATGCATTTAGGAGTCACTATTACAATGATTGCAGGAAAAAAAAAAATCAGCCAAGGCTGATGTCATGCATGGCATAACTCTGTTAGGTAGAGCGGATGAGTCTACAATAAAACAGCATAGGTTCATCTCTATTTCATTGTGTAGAATTTTTTCATAAACTAAAAGTCAAGACATTGTCTTTGAGCTACTAATATTCTCTAGCTGGAGGTAATAAAGCATAATTTGATCTAAGGATGTTTTTATTTTAAATTATTTACATCATCATTCTTCTCTTCAATATACCAGGAGTCTGCAGATAGAATATGAGCAACTAAAAGAGCAACATCTTCGGAGAGGAATTAACCCTCTTGCATCACCTCCTGACTCCATTGTTTCACCTCAGCATGCTCCCGAAGATGCTGAGCTCATTGCTGAAGCTAAGCTTCTGAGGCAACATAAAGGTCGTCTGGAAGCAAGGATGCAAATTTTGGAAGATCACAATAAGCAATTAGAGTCTCAGCTTCACCGACTGCGTCAGCTACTTGAGCAGGTGAATGTATACTCATGTCTGTCTTTTCTGGCAGGTGATTTCTGCATGATGGATTTCTTGGTGGTGCAAAGGTGTTGGAATTTAACTGTAGATATTTCCTCAGTCTGATGACTGATTTTGTCAGTCATTTCTAGGGTGAAGAGGCATTTTTCCCCGCTCTGCTCTGAACTACTGAGAATGTCAGATGAGCACAAAATAATTCTAAGTGCTGGAGTGATCATGGTAACTTAGGAAATGTACACATAAGTGCAACATTTTTTTTCCAAATTTAAAAGCAGAGGGAAGAAAATATATACTTTTCCAAGTAGTGGTACCAGTCACAACCTGTATTTGACTTCAGTTTTCCAGTCTTTCCTTAAGTTATTTCATTTTGTTGCCACAGTCAGTCACTGAAATGTTTCTTGACACAACAAAGACAGATTGCCAAAGATATTTCTTACATGCAAAGGATCAAGTATTTTCAGTCAGAAGTCCAGTTCTTGAATAGCATGTTTACACCTATAAGCTACAGCAAAATCATCTACTTACAGGTAGGTGTTGCAGTCAAGAGCCTTTTTGCAAATGCCAGTAGCTAGAGATTGTAGAATTTCTTTGTTGGAGAAGGAAATGTTGATCATTTTTGAAGAGCATGCACATCTAGATGGAAAAAAATAAAATGGCAAAGTGTTGTTAGAGATGTTAGCATCTACAACAATTTAGAACATTGTGTGTGGAAGCTTAAATGTATGAATCTTTTCCCAGAAGTAATCATGACCATTGGGTCAGAGTCCAGTTAGGCAAAGAATTCCTGCCTTCTTCAAACTCTGGATGATTAGTTGTATGATTAGAGGATTTAACTAAGCTAAGAAACAGGCTGCATAAAACAAGTATCACTATGGTGTAAGTTCCTGTTGATGGTACCCTTACTACAGTGATAAAGATTTTGTTGTTGTTGTTGTTCCTCTGGTTGGCTGGCATTTTTCTAGGTAGTCTTGGCATCGCTGCATTAGAATGCATTTGTTCCAGTGACTTCCCTCCCCTCTAGCAGAATATTATTGTTGTTGTTGCTGTTAATCTAGCATATTCAATCAGTGTTTGAGTTGTTTACATATTTAACAGGGTAGATAATTGGTGCAGCTGTTGATAATCATTCATGAAGTATCTTAACTATTGCCAACACTAGGTGCTTTGGAGAAGAGTTTTAAACTTGTAAAGAAACTGTTGTAGAATAGAAACACAGAAGTTCTGCCAAAACTGTAGACAGTCTCAGCATAGTGCTTAAAGCATGAAAATGTTCACCCTTTCATTTTTTTTCTAATTTGTCTGTAGATAATCTAATATTGTATTTTTGTAATCACTGAGTATCTTCATAGCATTCTTAACAAGATCTTTAAGATATCCATATGTGCTGTGCTAGTATGTGGTGGCTTTGAGGTAACAGCAACGTTTTCTTCTTAGCAGTTCTGCCTCTGGATTTTTTTGATTGTTCTGCAACTTTTGGTTTCTGATAGGGTAAGGTAGAACCAAGAAGAGCTTTTGATATATTTCTGATTTCTTTAAACCACGTTTGCTATACACTCACAGTAAGCTCTTTTGCTTACTGTCCACCATCCCCCTCTTCTGGGGAGTCATGCTAGGCTTCTGACTGTTTCTGGTACCAAGCCAAGTATTTAAGAAGATCTGCATTATTGCTTTTGTAGTGTATCTCTGATTTTTCAATATAGCTTTCTAAATACATCATTACTGTATGATTTTGTGTTCTTTTGACCTGCCACTAAGCAGTTTTTTTGCAAGCTGTCTCCAAGGATGCTGAAGCTATTTCACTGAAGGGCCTTCAAAAACTTAAATAATTCAAAATTTCAGAGTATGTTCTTTGGAATTTCTTTATGTCAACATCAATACAGTTTTGAAGCAGCACTGAATCATGTTGCTGTCCTCTAACTTTCTGGAAAAAATGACCGCTCTTCAGCATGTTTGTTTTTCTGTCTAGGCTGTTCACAGTGTGTGAAAGTCTTTCCCTCTCTCACTGCTTGGAAAAGACTATTTCAGAAGCCAGCTGGAGATCTAAGTTTATTTATTTCCTTTGTTTTTGTCAACTGTCCCAATTACATTTTTAGTAGATGTAAAAAATTCCTTGTCTTGTTAATGAAACAGGATAATCTTCCATGCAAATTATTTAAGTCCAAATATCAAAATACTCAACTGTGTATTTCCTTTAGTAATAATTAGTGGTGGTAAAGGACACCACTGTCCATCTCACAACACTTTCTTTGCTGTGATTGCCATTTCATATTCTCTGTTTCTTCTGTCAACAGCAAAACCCTTAATTTCTCCGCTCTGCTTCCTGACTGTTTTTTATGTTAATAAAGTGCCACTGAATCTAAAATACTGAGACCTCTTTGTCTAAGAAACATGGGTAGAAAATTAATGAAACTTAGGAACTCCTACAGTAACTTAGATCTATATCAGAGCATTCAAAGACATTCTTTAGAGAGCACCTTTAGCAGAAAAGTGTGTGCATCCTCACTACACATTTGCCGCCTTCAGGTCACAATTCTGAGGTTAACACACTGTTTTTATTTTAGCAAGCCCAAAGGATTGGTAGCTGTCACACAGTGTTGTCATTTTGTCTGCCTGATTGATTATAGTGCCAAAGCAGAAGGTGAAACAGAATTTGCTCGTGACAGCTTTGATACCACCATGTTAAAAAAAAATCCGTTTTCACCTTTATTTTTTACAGCTATTTGATACTATATCAGATAACACATGTATGAAATAGAATTAAGACCTATTATGAGTCATATTTAAAGTCTAACTCGATATTTCTTTGTCTGAACAACTGAATAGCGGTTTTATGCTGGATTTGATATTGAATTTAATGGAAGTTAACATCATCTGTCAATGAATGTATGGTAAAACTGTAAGACAAGATATATAGGGAGTGCAGCTCCCTTTCCTGCTAAAAGCAGAGGATCTTTAGCAATAGAGAAGTGGAGAGAGCTTTGTGTTCTTTTTGTGACTGGGAGAATAAGCCAGGAAAAAGAAGGAACATCTACAATGAATTTGGAAAAGGAATTAGCCTGCTTCTGAGGTGTTCTGTAGCTAAGATGTTTGGGAGGTATTTGTTTAAACAATGACGGCAACAGAAGTCAGGTGAGTAATGAGTGTGACTTATCTGACCCTTAAGCTACGGTTAAGGCTCTTCCACAGGAGAGACACCAGCCAGAGTTGCACAAAAATTTGTGTTGATCCAAATTGGTTAAAATAAATATCTCTTTTGAGATCCTTTAGAACTGCAGTATTAAAGAGAATTTTCTGCAGAACTTATTTTTCCCTTTGTATCTTTTAGTTTTATGTGACAAAAAATGTCATCTCCCAGAAATTGAAGTATTGAGTTTTGATTCCACAAGTTCTTGATGCTCATTATGTAGCCTTAGAAAAGAGACTATGATTTTTCTGCAACTCCAGTTCTTTCCCTTTAAAATTTGTGTTATCTCTCATTAAAACTGTTAAATCGTATAAATACATGCAGCTATTGTCTCAATTATTTTGCATTTAATTTCGTCAGTATCTGATTGAGGCTATTCTTCCACTGCCAGAGCTCTTCCTCTGTTGCTCCAAACCCCACTATTCATCTGCTGAGCTGCATGGTCTTGACTTTGTAAGAAGAGGATTTTGGTTTTGTTTGGCTTTTCTTGTTATTGTAGCCATTAGAAATAAATACTGTCTAATGAAAATGAATTAATTAGGCATTGGCCTCTGATTAGAAAGAAGTGTGTTTAAAAAATAAAATTCAACTGTGATTCTGACTGCTACAGCAATATATGATAGGTCAATGTAAAGTATTTCAGTATGCTTTATTTGATCTCAGTTAATCCCCTGTTAGAGTCCTCATGCTCTGTGTTGTTTTTTTCTTTGTCATTTGCAACAGCACTACTAAGTGATAATAAATAACCTTCACTACTAATTTGTCATTTAAGTTTGTAGGTGTCTCCTTTGTATCCTAATTAGTCTTGACTTTGCAGTGTCTCGCTATCCTTAGTCTAGCCTTTGTGTTGCTGTACTGCAGTTTACTGTCAAGTCCAACACTGATCTTCCTCACTCAGTCATCTTTGCATCATTTATCCACATTTTCTGCTTCAAGAGGGATGGAAATCCAGTCCAGGTACAAGTGTGCATTTTGGATGACTCGGATCATCCCTATCCATCACTTCATGGTGTAGACGAACACCTATTCTGTCACTGAAGCTACCTTTGTTCTACACTGAAGTAACTTGTAACCTTCAGAGGGGTTACTTCATCTCCTTAGCTCTAAACTCTTCTTGAACAGCAGTTGCTGTACAGAATTTCATTGGATTAGTTATCCCTGACTTGGTATATTTTAAATCACTAATTCATTTTACCTAGACCCTGTAGCTGGGCTGAAGCCTTATACTGAATAGCAAATGACTTAAATACTCAATAGGCACTCACTGCTCATACTGATGTCTTGATGGTAAAATCCTTGCCTGACTTGAGAGCATTTCCATTTTTCTTTGTCTTCTAAGTGCAGAGCAATCTCTCTTGATTTATTCTTTTAGTCAAATTTGGAAGTTGGTATTGTCATAAGGAAAGAGAGATGAGATTGGGAAGAGGAAAACAGATATGCTGAATGCTCAAGGGAACATTTCCTTCTGTGTCTCACCATAGTGTGTGCAAGAAAAGGTATCTCTCTTTGTTCAACAATTTTCAGTTTTTTCTTGAAGGTTGGTGTTTTTTTTTAACTTAAGGAATTGAATGTTGCTGTGAGCCTAATGCTGTGAACTACCAATGAGCAAAGTTGTGCACAAATGAGCTGTTGTGTCAGTTCCTTCTGCTATGTGTCTTGTAGATGTTCTAGATACATTTTCAGTCTCAAAAAAATCTTTAAAATAATTTTTGCACTACTTCCGTGTCTACTTTTGACAGATTTAGATAAATAATCTGCTTATTAAGCTGTTTGAAAGTAATCTGCTGATTTGCAGTCAAAAAGATAAATGATGGGGGCAGCCATTTTGGTGAAGATTATGTAATTGCCTCAGATATAAATGCTGTTTCACATGCTTCTGGCTTTTCAGAACAGTCATTTTTGGAGCTTGAGTATTGTGTAACTCTTCTTCAAAGGATTTCTTACAAAAAAAAAAAAGAAGGTAGAAATGCCTCTGCAGGGTTCCTTGCAGTATTTCTGAGTTCTATAGTGAAAAAGTCTTATAATTTTTTCTTGTTTTGCATCCACATATATACACATATACGTACTCTCAACCACACACATGACTACAGCTATAAATGACTACAGGACTTTGATGTTTGATTCTTAAGGTGACTGTAGGAATCCAGTGAGACTTGCCTCAACAGTTTCAAAGTATGGAGACATGGTGGCAGGATGTTCATATACAAGCTCACACTTAGATTATGTAGGTATCACTTACCTAAATTTGCATTTCACTGTCTCCCATGTAGCCTGAGTCAGACTCCCGGGTTAACGGTGCCTCCCCCTGCGCTTCACCCCAGCATTCAGCCCTCGGCTACCAACTTGATCAGGAGACAAGCTCACAGTTTCATCAGGCAGGTGAGTGTCTGGTCAGGTAATGTGCTATGTGAGTCTGTAGATGAATACTGGATGGTTTTGTTTGCATATTTCTGAAATTATTTACCATCGAAAATACACAAAAAGGAGATGGTCTTTGTCCAGGAGCAGTGCGTATTGCAACTGGAGTGCTGCTTCCTTGCACCTTGCATCTGCTTTCAGGTATCGCAAGGTTCTGAGTGATGGATGTCTATCACAGTTTTTTGGTTCTGGCTGTTCTGAGCTACTGGGCTAATGTTCCCTCCCCTGGGAGAACCAGATTGCATTGGAATGAAACGGCCAACAGCTGTTTGTCCTACAATACATGCATACAGCCAAGTAATCTATCAGATTCAGGAACAAATGCCCAAATGCATATAATTGAAACTTCATGATTACTGCTTTAAAAATTCTGTGTGCGCCCTCCTTATTCTGCTACTTTGACCCCAACCCTCAAAGGCTTCATATCTTTAGGAATTATTTAGTATTTAATAGTACATCCTCTGCACATCAGGGGATTACTCACTTGAAAGATTATTTTAAATTCTCCAATAGCAAAACTCATTAATTCCACTGGCAATTAGCAGAAATAATTACGAACCATTGAATGTTTAAAAATAGGAGGAAAAGTAACAGATTTTTCTCAAACTGTCTAAGTGTAATTTCCTCCCTATTTTTCTTTTCAAGCCTTTGTTTCATAAATTTAAGAAAATTATGTTATTTCTGTGGAAAGCCAGAAAAACATTCTTTTGCATACTGGGAAGTTTTCATTCAGCATTGATGTGTGTTTTCATTATAATTCATCTGAAAAAGTATGGGACTTCTCTGAGTCTGATTTAATGCAATGGTAAATATATAAGCGATGCTGTCCAATTACAGAGGCTGTTGTACTCCCTAACCATTCCATATGCTAAGTTTATGCATAAAAAAAATACCACAGCAATGAGGATTTTAACACTAGTGAAATTGCTGGTGCATATTGAATAAATACTGCCTAAAAATGTTTGTTTATTTATTTATTTTAAAATGTGTTCACTCCGGCAGTTAGGTGACAAGCTATCTGACTCAAAAAGTGAGGAACATAACTGAGCAGTTATTGAGTATAACCATTCCATCTTGTTAACCTTTTACTTAGCTGTAAATTCTCATAAGCTGCATCTTGTTGATATTTCCTTCCAGTTAAATTTTGGGTGCAGTGCTTGAGCTTTAATAACAGAAAGTATTTATTCTGCAAGTCAGTAATTTAACTTTCAATATCCTCTCCCAGATCTGTCAGTTACCAATGACAGTTCCTGCACATTAAGTTACAGATGCTTCAGCTAATGATTTCTGATGAATTGTAAAGTAATATTCAAATGGATGGTTGGATGAGAATGCCTTTAAGAATGCTGTTGTCTTTTCTTATTTTCTTCTTACTAAATTAATTGCTTTCTTTGTTGTCATATCTGCAGATGACTTGTTAGTTCCACCTCATGATACCAACACAGATCTGACAGATGTTATGGAGCAAATCAACAGCACGTTTCCAGCTTGCTGCTGTAAGTGTAACAAAATACCTGTCTGACAGTAGTAGTGAATTTGAGGTGGACTTATGAAGAAAAAAATCATTCCAATGGTATCAACTAAGAAAAGATCTTCTGTCTGATAAGATATCTTGTCAACATATACAAGTTACGGAACTCTGTTCTTTATGGTTACTCAATATTCATTCTTCCATATTTATGAAGGGAAATTAAAAAATATTCTTGTTTTAAATTTGTTATTTGCAATGAGAAAAGCCTGTTACTCCATATGGAATTTTCATTTGTGTCTGCGTAAGGGAAAAAGACACCTAGAAATCCATTTCATGTGTGGTAAAATCTATGTAGATCCAAGGTAAATGTAAATTCAGAAATTTTGAACACTGCTTCTATAACAGAAATTGAAAAAAAATGCCATAGGCTACAGCAGGGACCCTAGCCCAGTGCTGATTCCCTGAACTAATTATTGAACTAGTTACTAAACTAATTGGCCAGAAGAAATAACTGTTAATGCAGCACATAAGACCATTCCCTGCTTAAGTACATTGAAAGTTAATATTTTATTCAGTGTCTATTAAAGTAAAATCAAATAACTTCATATGCATGGCTTCTATCAGCCAACATATGCTTCCTCTGGCACTGTTCCTTGAAGGGTGTCACTGCACTTGGAAGAATGAGTAGCTATCTTTCTGGTTCAATCAGTATTTCATACAGACTGTTTTATAGGTTTTGGCAGGCATCGGTTAAAGTGGCAACTTTGTTATTTGTCTTTTTTTTTTTTACCTATGCACATACCTTTATCTTCAGCTCTTCTACTTTAGCAAAACAGCAGTGAAAGCTGATGCATTCTTCCAATATTCAACAGTTCTTTGCAATGAAATGTGCCTTTTAAAACTAACCATCATTATTACAAGTGAGAGGGAGATGTTAATGTCCAGTCTTTCTGGAAACACCAGAGCTCTGCTCTATTCTATGTTGTAAGCTCAGTGAACCTTGTTAAAATACCCCTTTTATCTCTTATATATACATTGGCTGTGAAGAACTGCATCAAAGATGATGCACTTTGCACTTTTTCAGAAAGCTAATTAGAATTTAGCAAAAGTGGTTTTCATACAGATAAATAACTCTTGATATTTTCAGTGAGTTCAGTAGTTCAGAGCCCATTGCTTTATAAACTAAGGATTTGATTCTAAGGACCATCTGTTTTTGAAGCCAACAGATAATGGAGCTTCCTGCCACACCTCAGAGGTGTGTTGTGTAGTAAGCAGAAAATACAAGGAAAGTACAGCTCTTGTTTTTGCAAATAACTCTCTGGCGTGTATAAGTAGGTATTAGTCATGTTCATTCTTCAGTTATACTGTAGGGTGAGCTGAGGACTAAGTGCTATCTGACATTTTATTGGAGTTGTGATGTTAAAATATGATCAATGTTTGATAGCTAATTTCCCTGCTTTGAATTAATAATAGGTAGATCCTAGCAACAAAACCGTGGCAGCACAGCTTCCAAAAAGTAAAACCTAGTGGAAGCACTGTTCCTTTTCTAGTACAGTCTTGAAGTCCAGAAGTAATTTGTTCAGAAATCTTTGTGTTTTCTAGTGATGTTAACTGATCTTTGGGACAATGATAAAAGTAATTTGCCCTCCACAGACAAGATGCCACTGACCTTTTTCAGTGCTAAGGAGTACTTTGCCCGCCCCTAGCTCTAAGGGGGAAGAAGATGACATCTCTGAAAAAAAAGTATGAGTTCCTTCTGCTGAAAGTGTAACTTGAAAATAATTAAAAATATTTACTTGTTTGAAAACAGTAGGGAAATTTTCTTGTGTGCTGTCAGCATTTTCATTATTTTTTTTCTCCTAAATTAAAAAGAATATAGGGGGAGTATTGGAAGCAGTCACACAAAGAGGTTATAGTGTCTTCAGCGTTAGGAGTTGTCAAGACTTGTTGGCATTCATCTTACTTTCAGTGAGAGGTTGCACAAGATGACCTGCAGAGACTACCCAATGTTGCTATGGCTTTCTGAATCCAATTTCATCATATAAAATAAAGGTCACAATAGAAGGCTTTTCATGGCTGATTGAGGTCCAGGTCAATCTTTTTTGATGTACTGATAAAGAAAAGATACACTAAAAACACTGCCTGCCGACCTTCTCCTCTGCTCCTGAGTCATACTGCATGATTTCATCAATCTGTTCCCTATGACTTCACGCAGATGTCAGAGTACTTAGCAACTTCTGGAGATACTCTGAATATCTGAATGCTTTGGCTGCAGTAGCATTGCAGTGTCTTAAGTACATAAATGGCTATTGCTATAACATCCAGGTCTCACAGCATATTGGGACTCTCTCTTCAAAACCTCTATAAGGTAGGGGCATAACAGAACTTTCATCTTCACCACCTGTATCTCAGAGGAAACAACAGTGAGCAGCTGCAGTTCTTCATCCCTGTGGGAGGTACTGGGAGGAGTAGAGAGCACTGTCATTATGGGGCCTATAGCTCAGTTGCTAGGCTCTGGATATGCCTGGTGATGTGAACACTTCTATAAAATGCGTTAAAAGAAGTTGGAGGAAAAAAGTTGCGTTAAACTACTAAATACGGAACATTCTTGGATCCTAATCTCTTGGGACCCTGAGCGATGGTTGTTATTGTCTGCTGCTGTTCTGATTGCATACCAAACGTGTTGGGAGAGTTCTGTATAGTTGAAGGGACAGTCACAGTGCTTAGAGTTTTCCAGAAAGATGGATTTGCAAAACTTTCCCAGAGTAACTTCAAAGTAGCCAAGCAGATGTACAAAAAGTGCCTCATTTCTTAATCTCTGTTAACTGCTGCATCACTCTAAAATAAATAAGCAAGCAACTTGTGGAGTTGATGCAGTAGAAGAAGTGAGGAGAGAGCAACTATTTACTGCTAACTCTTGAGATAAAGATTCCAGTTTCTCTATTCTGTTCTGTTTTTTGTTCTTACTTCAAATCCTTTTATCCCTACATGCATTTTCTGCTTTAGGTCTCTGACCAGTCTATTTCCTTTTTGAATGAAATGTCTAAAATATCACAGCTACTATTGCAATACTGATAATATCAGAATTATTATTTAATCAGAATTATTATTTAATGATGTACCAAGCTGCTATAGTATGATTTTTATTTTACCAGAGATTTTTGTAATACAGCACTCATAGGTCTATGTAGTTGTAAGTAGTGAGTAAGGGACAATATAATCTGTATTCGTAGCGCTGAATATTTGTTACAAGAAAAATTATGAAGAAATAATGTATGCATCTTTGCAACACACTTGTAGTTAAATGTTTTTTTTGTTTAAGATAAAAGCTTTCTATTCTTTGACAGTCATATTTTCCTATTGCTGTATTTGCTTTTGTATTACCAAGATGCAGAATCATGTAAATTTCTAACTTTTTTCTTTTTTTTATTTGCAGCAAGTTTCACTGGCAGACAACAGGTATGAGGCATTCTGGTGTATTTGCATATTTCTAGGAAGCAGAATAAAACAAGTGGGAAAATTCCATTAAAGTGAATTGGCTAGTTCTTTATTTTCTAGCAGGCTATTTGGAGGCTAGACCACTGTAATAGGAAATATAAATTTTGAAATATCCCAGTTAATAGAAAATTCCTACGGGTTTAGACATTACCAAAGGTAAGGTGATGTGCAGTTTTGATGTACTGACCATAAGGAATCAGCTCAAATCTATCAGCTAGTTAGTTTCAAGCCAGCCTCAGCTCTGGGAGATCAAAACTGGTTCATGCAAAAGACATCCATCTGTGCCTGTTCCCTGGTTCCCATTGCTCCAGATCCAGATGGGTCTATGGATCAAGAGCTGTGGAGTAACTTTGGTATTAAATTATGCTGCCTTCTTACATTAGACAACCTCTTTACAAAACCAAATAAGATATTTGGCTACTCTAACAAAAATTTGGAAATCAGTCTGATATTTGGATACTTCCAAGTTCTTGAAAATCTACCTCGTATGAGCAGCTACATTTCTCTTACAAACAAGAGAAATAGGGAAAACAGTAGAACAAAACAAAACAAAAACACACTCTTGTTATAGGTTTAGGTTGATATTAGAGCAAAACTATGACTAATAAGGAACAACATAATCTTCTGTCGTTGCAGAGTTCTTTCAAAGTTTCATTGTTAAATTAGTCTAATAGATAACCATGGATTGCTGTGTGTAAGGAGAGAGAAGAATGAAGTGATAGGCAGAGTTAGTTACTTCCCTAATTTCTTCACTTTGTTCATTAATCTGCATTTTGTAAGGTCACACCTTTCCCATGTTAATGTCTAAAAATTCAGAAATATTACTTGGCCAAGCACTTTCTTGAACTGTAATATCTGCTGTAATAGGATTGCCCTTCTGAACACTGACTCAGATGTTGGGTTTCAGTCTCTTAACAAGGTAAATTAAGTGAATTAAAATAATATTTTTCAGCAGTCCTTCCTGTCAGCAGGCATAGGGATATCTTTGAGCATAATCAGTGATAAATATTAATCTTTCTGAAAAAGCATTTGATTTTTTTTTTAGAAACAAAATTATTTCTGAGTGATCTCACACTTGAAATAGACCACTCTAGCACCATTTGAGAAGGGGTATTTGTCTGTTTTGCAGAGAACAGAATTATAGAATCATGAGATAGCTTGGGTTGGAAGGGACTTTAAAGATTACCCAGTTCCAACCCTCTGCCGTTAGCACGGTTGCCAGCCACCAGCTCAGGCTGCCCAGGGCCCCATCCAACCTGGCTTTGACCATCTCCTGAAGTGGGGCATTCACAGCATCCGTGTAAATGATTTTTTTCTGACATCTAATGCAAATCTCCTCTCTTTTAGTTTAAAACCATTCCTCCTGAAACAGGAGCCTGGAAATAAGTATCACATTTTAGGGGGCTGCGTCCAAGCCCCATTTGTGTATGCTCTCCAATTTACCATTTAGGATTCAGATAGAACAGTAGTTTGTCTAAACATTTTTTCTATGGGTATACAGCAAGGAAAGCCTGTAAACTTTATTTATTACTCTGTAGTCATAAAATCCTTTGAGATTTACTCAATAAGAATTTTAAGTACTGCTGCACAGTAAAATGAGGATTCTCTTAACTACATGCCTGGGTGATTTGCTGAAACTTGTGACAATGCATCTAAGTTTTTAAAATACAGGGTTTTTTTTGCAAAATTACATCTGAGTCCTCAAATGAACCAAATCCAGAGTATTTAGAGCTCTCTGCAGGGGACTGTGCATGTTAGTATGGTACTGACATGGCTATTTCTCATCATTACAGGCAATGTGAAGTGCTCATTTGGGCGTCCACCAGTGCTTCCTGACGTGCAGTACAGCCCTTTTCTACAAAACACCAATTGCAAGTTCCACTCTATCAGAAGTCTGCATGGGACCTTGGAACATGCTGTTTGCTTTGACTACGTGTTCTACTTGAAATACTAAAACACTGAATACCCAAAGATGAGGATATTGTTTTTATATTATAGGTTCTTTTTCTTCTTCCCTTTCTATGCAACTGTAAATTAATGAGCAGTGGAGTATTTGTCACTGATTTGTATAAATATACAGCCGCGGGAAAAGGGGCATGGGCTTTATATACGTTCTTTTTGATAAAGTGAACTGCATAAGGAGTTTGGAGCAAAATGTTACATTTATACATTCCTTTCAGCTCTTTGCTTTTGCATTGTAAAATATCCTCAGTTATATTCTCATTCATTTAATATTCTGTTCTGATTATTTATATGCTAACTATCTGACCAGACACACTTCAGAATTACCCTTGATTTGTTTTCAGAATTGGCGTGTGAAGTTCCCATAATGTGCATTATTGTTACTGTTTAACGCAAATTGCCTCTAAGTGAAAGCTACAGTATTTTAACTCCATTAAACAAGATAATCTCTAATTTCAAGTCATAATGATTATTATGCACCAAAACGATATTTTAACATTCTTTTAGTTGATTCTAGCCAACACACTCCATTTGGAGGATTATTTTTTAAGCTTTACTTTACTTTGAATCAGGAGATAGCTAAAAGAGGACTTAGGTGATAGTTTAAGTTGTTTTTAGTAAGGTCTAAGTTAATGTAATCTTGCCCAAATTTGTTTGGAGACAAAGCTTTGCTGTTCCTTGCTGTGCCAAACTTGTTTCAAGTTTTGGAATATACAGTCTGTGAACTAAAGCTCATTTCCGTGAGATCCCCTTTTGTTTATTCAAACACACAAGTCTTTTATCTGCCTCTTAGAAATGAAGAGACAATTAGAAAGCCTTTTCCAATACTGTTGGTGATAGAATGTTTTCTTCAAAGCTGCAGCGCTCTTAGATTGTATCATGTGGCATTGTAATCTTGCAACTCATCTTTACCTTTGAGATCCTTGAGATTTATGTACTTCAAGTAGGAATAATTATGGGAAAGTTATGTCACTGATCAGCTGATCTCTAGATTTAAAACAATCGTCAGAGTTTTTTAATGCCTTCATGGAGTTTACAATGCTGCATGGACACTTGCTTTCATGTCAAGACATACCTTTAATTGGTAAAACTGCATGCGATATATGTCGTGTAGTGGAGAGAATCTAAACTATGTTGTTGTTGATTATTACTGAAGAAAAGAAGCCTCAAAATGGTATTGGAAGAGTTACAAATTCTGTACTGCTACCAAAAGATTCTAAAGGACATTAAAACAAAGTCAGGAATACCTAGTGCTTATGTGGTGGTGCCAACTAGATTGTCCTGCACCCACAGTACTCGCTCCTGGAACGCTGCTGCTTGAGGAGCAATTTGGGCACAGCATTGATCACGTTCTAGTGTTGGCTCTGATGCCAGTTCTTTCTGAACTCTTTGACAAAGTATTTAACCACTCTGCCTCTGTTTTCCCATCTGTAAGATGGGGATGACAGTACTTACCTCTCAAAGGTGTAGAGAGCTTAGTTAGTTAGTCTGAAAAGCTCTATTTAAATGCTAAGTAGTATTATTGAGTGGGTGGAGCAAAACTGTCAAGGTGCGAAGAGAAGATGCTGGCTACTATAAATGCTTCGTCTATTAAAAAAAAGTAGCATAGTTATTCTGAGAAGACAAACACATTTTACAGAAGAGGAAAGCCATGACCACCTTTCTACCTCAGACCTATCTTCATGAGTAGTATTGGAAATAGCTTTATATTCTGTTCTCTGCAAAGTATTTTGCTTTTATTGAGCTTATGTCATTCTCTAGGCAAAAAAATCCTTAAAAATAGCCCCCACGTAAGTTTAAAAAGAAAAAAAAAGTCTAAGCAGTGAATTTGGTGGCTTTTATTTTTGTTCTGAATATGAGGTTATGTGTAAAGTTGTTTTTCTGCCTGTGTTTGTATGCATCCTTTGTCCTCTGCTGCCAAGTAAGTGCTACTTCGAACACTACATTGTAACATTATTCCTCTGCGGTAATAATAAATAAATGGAATATATTGCAGTAAGATGAGAAAATGTATGGAGTTCGTTCAAGTTTTGAGTTCCTTCAAGGATGGCACTTCTCATTAATACGTGCTGCAAATTTAATTCTGAAGAGAATTAATTTTAAGACTGGAATGTGGTTTTCATTTATATAAATGAGATAAATCGGTATTTTCTCCCATAAGTCTGTGTGTATCTTCTAAAGTTTTCCACCTTCAGTGATTTAGTCTGGAGTCCTGTTCAGCTGCATGACAGATTTTAAATACGATCAATAGAGAAACACTGCTTTAATTTAAGAAGTGCTATGTATACATATTATGAAACAGCAATAATACATGAAGCTTTGTCAAATATTAGAACTGTAAATTAGTCTACGTTTCAATGCCATTTAGTCAGCATGCTCAGCTGTAACATAGTACTAGTTATTCAGTTGTGATGTGTACTTTCTAGCCTCATCATGTGCTAATTTGGGGTGTTTCCATTAAGCTTTTGTCAATAAGTGTTAGAACTTCTATGCTTAAGGGAGGAAAAAAGAGTAAAAATTCCTCAAGGTGAAAGCACCTGTTTTTGTGGTGAGGAATTTTGAGGGGCAGAAATATCTAAATAACTCCCCGGGGTTGCACTTAGACATCTTAAGGACCTGGTTTTTGTGTATGTTGAGGCAGCTTTCCTCTCAACTTGATGATATCAAACAACACAAAATCTCATAACAAATGACCCTTTAATATGTTTTTTCTGCCATGTTTTAGTAGTTGTGGATGTATGCAAAGATCGTGGGTTTTTCTTTTTTCTTTCTTTCTTTTTTTTTTTTTTTTAACTTGTTCTAGCTTAGGAATTTGGGGAAAACAAACAAAAAAAAACTGAAGACTTTTCTTTGACAACAGCTCCATACATGGTGTTTTGAGCCATGTGACGTTTTTCTCCATTCTCAACTCTTTTCTGTTTGTCAGAAATACTTCAGACTTCTGTGTCATGACATTTTTATTACTGCGTAATTTTGCTGCAGTGTAATTCTGAACTTGTTTATATATATTGTGAGCAAGACACCATGAAACACTAGGGCAATAAGTGCTACTAATGACTAAGAAGAGCATGGCCTGCTTGACCAATGAAGGACAGCTGAGAGGTAAGGATCAACAAAATAGCTCTAAGAATTGAGCAGAGAGGAACTAAAGCTGCAGTGTTTGTTAGGATAAACCTAATAACAAGCATTTGTTAGAAATGCTTGTTTCTAACCACTGACTGCATGAACTGCTGTGCTAACAGCTGGAGTTGAAGCAAGATGAGATAATATTTGTCCTCCAAAAAACAAAGCAAAAAGCAAACAAACAAAAAAACCCAACAGTGTTGTTGATGATCAGGCTTGTATTCTTGTACTGCTATTCATGAACAAATTAAAATGGCTTAAGTCATTGGGGGAAAGATGCCATCTTTGCTCAAAAAGAATAAAAAGAAGAGTATGTGTTGGACTAGCTGGCCTTCAGAAGTGCGTTAAGGATTCTATGGTTGATTCTGTGATTCTGTCTGATTTTCTTTGTATTAGGGCCGCTGTCTATATTACCCTACTTGGAGAGATTGCCTAATCTGTGTTTTCCCTGATCTGGGATTTTTTTCACTACTAAAACCATGACTTATTCACCTTTTCCTAAACGTAATGAGTAGACGCGTGCCCCTCAGTCAAAGGATAAACCCAAATTAATTATGTTTTCTAGATCTCATCAATGCAGAATAGACCTCATTCACTTATTTCAAATGTAAAAGTAATTAAAATGTGAGTGGCTGATCTTGTTTTTTAAAAGTGTATGTGAAAATGTGCTTATTTCACCTTCCACTCTGAAACAGATCTTTTGAGGTGTTGATATTCTCCCTTTCAGGATTGAGGCAAGGACATCCAGATGTTCAAGTGATGCTATGTGAGCTACTTGAATTATGAGACTTCAGCTCTGCTAGCTTAGAGAAGCAGGACCCAGGCACAAGCTGTCCATGGACACATAAGAATTTATGTCAACCTGTTGCCCTGGATCACGGCTTCTGTCCTCACAACTGTTATTTCTGCAGTTAAAAAAAGTAAGGGTTTTGGTCATTTACAAATCAAGTCAGCCTCTGGAGAGAATTTGCTACATGTATTTTTTGTTCTCTCTTCTAGTACAGAGTTGCTCTTCAAAAAACCTTTCTGAAGGTAAACATTTGCACCACGGCAAAACTGAGGAATCAGACCTGTCCACTGTAGTGCAGAAATGAAGCTGTCATACCACAAGGCTGAGTATTCTGTTCCCTATGATGACAACAAAAAAATCAGCCTTACAAGTGTAGCCAAGGTGTTGATTGATAACAGTGGTATGAAAAAAAAAACAAAAACCTTTAGTGGGATAACTAAAAGGGGGAGCTGCATTGAGCCTTAAAAACAAATGAAGCTCTTAGTGATCGGTAATTATTCCTTATGTTTGTCACAAAAGGAACTTTCTTCCAGTGGTCAGCAAAGATGAAATCTTCCTTGGTTTACATGTCTTTGGGAATCTATCTTCTGCCTTTAACACCACTTAAATATTCATGATGTTCCAGCAGAAATTGCACTCTTTGCAACTTCAAGCTCTGCTTTAGAAAGAACAGCTGCAGGCAAGTACAGCAGCCTTTGTTGGAAGGGAAAGGCAGTGGGCTGCTTCCAACTGCTGCAGACAGCTCCAAGGAATCCCTTTTAATAAGAGCTGCTCTGTTAGCTTACTTATTAAAAGTGATAAACCAGAGAAGCTGAATAGGTTTTCTAGATGCCAGTAAGTGTTAAAGATTAATGCCTACACAGAAAACAAGTAAACCATATAGACGGGATCTGTCTTACATCTTAGTCATCATCTCTGAAATGTATTATTTCCAGATGAACTATTCACGCTCCTGTTAGTTACTCTTTTTATAGTCAGGTAAGCATCCTGACAATGTTTTGTTTTTAGACATTTACTAACTAATATTTAGCTTAGAAAAATATACTTCAGAAATACTCATTTTATGGCAGTAAGATAGCCTAGGGTATGTAGCTCAAAGAAAAATACCTTGGTATTAAATGTATGTAAAGCAGTGGAGAATGTAATTTTTAGAATTTGTTGCCAGCTAGAACAAGTGACTTGGTTATAAAAAAAAATAATATGAAAAACACCTATCAGTATTTCAGCAACTCTTCATCTGCATGTGGAATTCCTTTTGCCCCCACAGTAATCGCTATGTCTTTATAACTGGGATATAAATACTTAGAAAAATTGCTAAAAATAAAAAGTAGAGGATGATGTCCCTTACCAACAGTTTGAGAGTCTCAAGCTAGTTTTAAGGGAGTTAGGAAAAAAAAGCTGCTTGGATGAGAAAGATTTGCCTGAATTTTATATGGAAGTGGGCAAACATTTGATCAAATACAGTAACTTCATGTGACTACAAGCCTGAAGAGTTGCAGTGTAATTGTGGCTCTGCAAAAATAGATAGCAAAATCATTTGTTTTTCTTCACTAGAGATGGAATTCTGCATACTGAGGGATCCATCTTTATCATGAGCAGTTCCGTGCAATTGTTTCTCTGTATGTATTTGCAGTGTGCTATTACTGCCTAACCCACATATGAGATTTCACACATTAGAGTAAGAGAGTGGACAGAAGATACACTCTAACTGAAACTGCTATGAGCCACATCACTGGTCTGAAAGGAGGGAAAGTTAAGGGTTCCCCCGATCTGGCTTTTTAAAACAGATGGGAAGTTTGCTTTCTTCCTTCCCCATTTGACATGACCTTCAGAGTACATTGAGATTGGTTTTTCAGTGACATCAACAGGTTTGCTCAACACTCACAGGTACACAACATCACATCCCATAGACTCACGTGTGTACAATTTAATTAAATGTTCTCTAATCTGATCCTTCTCGACTGACAAGGAAGACATTTCCCTTTCTCTAGACTTCCCTTCTGGCCTCAGGGAGCCGAGTTTCCTGTAATGCTATGGAACTACTGATCAAGACGGAGAAGAAGAGATCCAGCACTTCAGACTAATGGATGCTTTGTCACCTAGTCCCCTTCTGCAATGCATCCACATTTGCCCTGGTTCACCTGCACAAATCTTAGCAGTTCTTCCTTGTTTAGGAGTAGGAGGTCCACCAGAGTCTCTCCCCTCATCAGCTCCTTGGTCATATGTTAGGAAATTGTACTGATGAAATTTTCCCATTAGCATCACTGAGTCAATGTACCATCTTACACGGAGCTGAGAAAAAGAGAAATAGATGAGTAGGGAAGGACGTTTTAAATGC